GAGGTCGAAACCCGTGGCTTTATTTGGGTTCAATTTTTTCAAAGCTTTTAGTACATCATCGTGTTCGATCTTACTGAATTTGAAAGTGTTGTCACTTCATTTCTCTTTAATTTTCCTTGCACTCATATGATTTAYAARRGGGTYTCTTCCAGTACTTYCAGATRTATYCCMWATGTTGTCTGCTATCTTAGAGAAATATTCTGCAAGAATGTTTGCCACTTCACGCTTTTCTTGAACCATCTTTTCATTAACTTTGAGAGTAATCTCTTTGTCACCTTTTGCCTTATTATTCATAAAAGGTGAGAAGGCTTTATAAAAAGATCTAGGATTTCCTTTAAGGTTATCGGCTTTTGCTCTCCAAAAGTTTTTAATCGCTCTTCGTCTAAGACGGGATGCGGTGTTTCTCCAAAATCTCATCATTTCAAGACTCTCTTCAGTTTATAATCTCTTGTGTCTTTTTGCAAATTTMCTTTTCTTTCTRATTGCTTCTTTCCATTCGGCAGTTATGTACGGTGCATCTCTCTCCCTGACTCTCATAWTCTTCAATGGCATGTGTTGATCTAATACTTTTGTCATTCCTGTGTGCCAAGATGTATATTTCTCATTTGCAGAACTTGAGTTCTGTAAATCCACAATAGCCATGACCTCTTTTACATCAGCCTTGAGCTTAGCTTCGTCAAGGTTTTTCGAACTCCTGAAGGATATGCTCTTAAACGGATGAATTTTCACTTTCGGTTTCAAGAAGCCATAAATCATTGCGTGGTCACTCATGCCAAAGTCAATCACCCCTTTGGTTATATCAAATAAATCGGACCTGTTAGTGAGAGGATAACATCAATGAGAGTTTTACTGGAGGGGGTAATTTTTGTGTACTCCTCAATTAAGCATTTGAGATCGAAAATATCCTCTAGGTCTTTAAGGATCTTTCCTTCTGTGTTGTTTGGCTTACATTTATCAAGATTTAGGTCCCCTAGGATCATGACTGTCTGTCTTTTTTGAAGGGCCCAGGTAAGCAGATGATTTAGTTCGTCTTGAAGTTCTGTGAAGTAATTGTTGTTTGATGATCTCGATGGTGGTCTATATAAGCCCAACACAATAGAGTTATTGTCTCTACATCTAGGGCAAGAGGTTTCAGTGTTTTGTAGGCTTTCGCAGGTTTAAGCGTTTGACGACAATACCTGATTTTACGTAAGCCATTACTCCTCCTCCGCCTTAAGCCCTATCGTTTCGAAAGGAATAAGCTTTGGAGTATGTAGAATCAATTTTTGTCTCGGTCAGTATTTCAAGGGCGGATCCAGGGGAGGGAAGCAAAGGGGGGCTGAAGCCCCCCTTCAGCAGAAAAAAACGATGCTTTTCTATATTGTTTTCCGTTGTGTTGACGGAAGAAACTCAATTAGCCCCCCCTCCCCTAATATTTTGGCTGGATCCGCCCTTGTATTATTGTACTTGCTTTTAATTTTTCTTTGATTTCCTTTAGCTCGTCGAACGTATTCTGGACGCTATTTATGTTCAGATGTATGATCAGATCTTGATTATGATAAGTTTGTCTCTTGCTTGATCATGACATAATATGCAAAGGGTCTTCTTTAGAGATGGTCGAGTGTAACGATTCATTTTGTTGTTGAACTATGTCGTTCACAAAATAATTCGAGCTGAAACTTAGATCCACAGGAAGATTTTCATAAGGGCATGGTGTACAAATTCAACAGGAGCTGATATTGAGCTGTACTTGTTTACAATTGTTTGTAGACAGACCAGAGCATTTGAGGTGGTAGAGGAGACTAGAAGTTTGGCATCGCACGGTTCGGTGATTTCTAGCTTAAAGGTTCTTTCACATGTTTTACATTTCGCCCTCACGCTAGGTCCTGGGTTTAGACTTATGTCTCCACGAAACAGTAATCTAGCTAGATTAAAGCTGGAAGTCGAGTTGGGATGATATTTCAATCTTGAGGCTAGATAAACCTTCTTCTTCTTAGACTTTAGTCTAAACTCTCCCGAAGGGCGGCTAGCTTCATGGTAAGGGGCTGGTAAAGCATCTTAATTCAGATGTTCCAGTTCATTGGAGGTACTCCTGCCATCTTCAAAGGACGTTATATATGTACTGAGTGAGAATTGCACAAATAATACGGTTATATACAAGTGTAATTTTGAATTTTTTGCACGAGCGGAGCGTTGACCTTCCATCCTTGCTCACCGCTGACCCGTTTTGTGATATAGCAATATTGAGAAATCTTTTGTGTATCAACGCGGGGTGTGATTATTCTTTCCATTTTGTCACTAGATCAGACTAGGTGGTGTTAAAGCAGGTGATGCCAGAACTTTCAAAGGCCGTCTTTCCTGTCTTCAAATATTTGACAAAGCACTAACACAGTCGCAAGTGCAAGCTGTCAAAGGAAATTGTATAGAGAAAAACGGTAAGCTATTGCTTTCTTGATTATTGCTATACGCCAATCAAAGTTTATATTTTATCTTTCCTCATTGACAATGCAACCGATACGTGAAGGTTATCAAATAAATATGATTCTTCCTGACAACAGTTATGGGCATCCAACGATACATTTTTTTACCCGAAAATATTAAAACCGAAAGTATTCTTACTTAAATTAATCAGTGGTAATTAAAAAAACGAAAAGTGACCTAAAATCTTATGGGTGTAAATTATTATTATTATTATTTTTTTTTTCTTTCTTTGTTTTTTTGAAAACGAAACAATTTTGTTCTTATTGGTTGTTGCTTAAAAATTTTTTTCGTTCCAGATTATACTGCTTGCCTTGATCCAAGAATAATCAGTGATCCAACGAGAGCATTAGAATTCAAGGTCAGCAGCCAAGCCCCTGACAGACACACCTTTATTCGTAGGCGATGGTATCGATTGAAGAGCAAAGATTGGACAAGAATCGTCACATCATGTCCAGCCCAAGGTTCCTGTGGAGCCCAATCTCCAGGATGGCTCAACGGTCAATATCCATCAATAGAGGCTGGGATAATAAAGATGGAAATATGTTACCGTTCAGGATCAGACTGCTGTGCTAACAAGGCAACTGTGTATGTAAGACAGTGCTATGGGTACCCTGTGTTCATGCTTGACGATGTACCAGATGTCAGCCTTAGTAATCGTGTTTGTACAAAAACAGGTAAGTAATGATTTGTGTCATGGGTACCCTGTTTTAGCTCTGTTTTTCACCATGTACCAGACGTCTGCCGACACGGCTAAAAAACCGCTGATTGGCTAATCTAAATCTCAACTRAGAGTGCGCAATATGGTTTACCGCTGAATTTATCGTAGGCACCCTGACAAAATGGCGGACGAGGAAAGGATTCCTGTCGAGCATTTTCCCTTCCGAAAATCGCAGTTTTTATCTCAAAGACCTTTTTTTTTTTTTTTTTTTTTTCATTATTT